GTCCGGCTCAGCATACTTCCTCTCAGGCTCTGCGCCGAGGAAGAAAACGCTTCGGACCCTAAGTGTCCAGCTCAGCATACTTCCTCTTAGGCTCAGCGCCGAGGAATAAAACGCTTCGGACCCAAAGTGTCCTACTCAGCAAAGTTTCCTCTCAGGCTCAGCGCCGAGGAACAATTCACTTCGGACCCAAAGTGTCCGGCTCATCAAAGTTTCCTCTCAGGCTCAACGCCAAGGAATGAAATCAGTTCGGACCCAAAGTGCCCAGTTCAGCAAAGCTTCCTCTCAGGTTCAGCGCCGAGGAATAAGATGCTTCGGACCCTAAGTGTCCGGCTCAGCACATTCCCACACAGGCTCAACGCTGGGGAATAATTCGCTTCGGACCCCAGGTGTCCGGTTCAAAAAGCTTCGGACCCTAAGTATCCGGTTCAGAGTATCTCCTCTTTTATGATCAACGCTGAGGAAAATACTTCATGGGTATTTCCTTCACAAGCCTCACGCTAGTGTAAGGCCCGTTATACATTGGTCCTATAGCGAAAACACACAGGAAATAACAAGTATATACATATATACTCCATATAATTCCATGGCAAGAAAGGTTCCCTTGACAATTAAAACACTATAGGAAGAAGCAATCCTCAGATATCAGATCGAAGGGAGCAGAATCAAAAGCATCCACTACAGTAGAGCTTGAGGTTGGAGGAATTGAAGGACCAGGAGTTACAGGAGTTGATGAGCTTGGAGGATGCAAAAAGCACCTCAGCCTCCTGAGCCTTCGGACCCTCATCGTAAGGGATGGACACCCCTATGTTTGCATCAAAGGTATCAGGATCCATCGTTTTGGGGCCTGAGCCTTGATTGAAGTCGGACTGGTAAGCTTTTGCACTAGACAAGCGCACCAAAGTGGAGTAACGGCCTTGCATCTGTCTCCCAGCAGTGACACAAGTTTAAATTGACTCAGTCAAGCGCTGGACTTCAGCCTCCAACATCTCCACCTTAGTTGCAGACTCAGCCAAGCGCTTCTTGTAGGCATCCCTTGCTTTAGAAGCAATCTTCGCATTCAGGGATGCGTTCGAGGCTTTCTTCTCATTATTGCCAAGGTCTTTCTCTAGCTTCTCTTGATTGAGAGATATTGCACCTCAGCAGTGGCACACAGGGCCATAGTATGATATAGACCCTACATCATCAAACAACAGAGATAACAATGTAAGTATAGTGGAAGCAAGAACTAAAAGAGCAAGGAAGGAAGAAGGAACAGACCTCTATGGCGCGAACGGGGGCAGATGGAAGTAACTATTCCAGTCCCATTCTGCCGATAATCTTCTCGTCTTTGGGGAACCACATTCCCTGGGCAACCACCAATGCAGCTGATGGATCGGTGATCATAGAATCACCAGAGTGCAGGACCGATTTATCAGCCCTAAGAAAAGGAAGGTGCCCAATTTTAGCCAGAACATATGCTCTGACTTCATCCTCTGGCTCAGTCTCTTCAGCTTTTTTCCCCTTACTCTTAGAAGGAGTCTTACTCCTGCCAGAGGAAGATGGATTGGGCCTAGTCTTCTTCAGAGGAGGCTCATCGACCTCTGTCTCATGCTCATTCGACCTGATAACTGCTAAGGGCCGGTCTTTCAGCAGCTTTCTTCTTTAGGGCCTCAACCCTCTGTTTTCCTTCCTCAGTCATTGGGAAACTATCGAAGGTCGGAAGAGGCAAATCCATGAGGTCTACAGCTTCAACTCTGGATGCGATTTCCTTAAGGTTTGCCGAGGTAAGCAAATCCTCAATAGAAGGGGGCTCGCACTAGACTTTCTTTTCAAGAAAGGAAAGTCTCTTCTTAGCAATAGAGGAAGGGAATGTCACTAAAACAAGACCAAAAAATTCATAAGTATACCGAAAGAGTAAAACTTGACATGAGAAACAACCAGAACAATTTTTATGTAGAGAGGGGGCATAATCTATACCTAGCTTCCCAAACTTGCGTGGGATTGGGAGCTTGCTCGATTGAGATACAGCCCATTTCCCTTAACGGTTATCATCCTCTCTATCCACTTCTTTTCAAAGGAAGAGAGGTTTGTACATATCCTCTGGTGCGAGGAAGAAGTAAAGTAAAAGCGACCAGGTTCGGTCCCGTGCTTGAAAATAGCATAAGTAATCAGCAAGTCAGCAAGAGTCAGATCAAGACTCTTCAGCCTTCGGCGAGCTAGGAATGCCAAGATTATTCGGAAGAAGTTAGGGTTTACTTGTAGGGGTGCAATCCCTAATTTGTTAAAAACTAAATGATAACAAGGGTGAAGGGGGAATCGAAGAGTGTTAAGGTGCCCAACAGAGAGGAGCAACTCGTCATCGCCGACGCCCTCACCGGCACAAAAATCGGTGCCCTTGGGGTATTCTACAATTCCTACCTCCTCGGGAATCTCAAAATCCTCTATTATGGATTCAATGGAAAACTTAATACGACGAACAGATAAAATTGCATTTCTCTCTTCGTTAGTAAAAACATTATCCGACCTAGAGGTGGATGTCTCAGCCTGGAATGGAGAAATACCCGGCTGATTGGTCGGGTCATTTGCAGATCTAAGGAAGTTAGAAACCCTAAGAGGAGGAACCCTAATGAGGTTAGAAGAAGACAAGAGCATGGATTCAAAATCCGCGATTTCTACATGATCAGGAGTAGTCGAAGTACTCATAATGCAAGATTGAAATAAGAAGATGAAGAACTAACCTAGTGATATGAGAATGTGAAGAACGCAAGGGACGAAACGAGCGCAGTAAGAACAAAAGCAAGTCTTGAAGAAGTCCTTGAGTGAGAATAACAATAGACACAACTGGAAACGCCTCGTGCAAAAGTGGTAACTGCACAACTTCAATTCCCTTTTAATTAGGAGCTGTAGTCCAATTAAAGAGGAATTGGGGGCAAAGTGTGGAGGGAAAAAATCCCCTCTAATAAGATTACTCCACGTCATCACGGATGCAAATTTGTCTTTCAAAGGCCCATCATGCTCAAGCCCAAATTGAATGTATTCTTAGCCCATGATCACTGTTATTTGCCCTCCAACCTTTATCCAGGCCGAATCAAAACGTTATCAACCCGATTTGCTAATATCAACATCCGGCCCGTTATTCAAGCCCAGCCGATTAAAGGTATAACCAGCCCAGTTATTCAAGATTGGACAAATCCTATAAGTTGAAGGATTTACCATAGAAGGAAGGCTTTGCAATAGGAAGTTCTACACAAAGCAAATTCTGTGCATGGAAAATTAAATAATGGAAAGAATTCTAATTGTAAAGAAAGTCATACATGGAAAGAATTGGAGGACAAGCAATGCGAGTCCTACCATAATTCTACTACTTTTTTATGTATAAATAGAGGCCAAGACCTCCAATAAAAGGGATCCAGGCATCCAAGCAATTCTACGCTTTTTTATATACTGTTCTTGGTTATTTTTATTGCTGATTGAGTGAGTTGTTTTATTTCTCTTAATTGTTATTGGTTGAGTGAAATTTTGCACCTACAATCACCCCTGAAGTTTGCTAGAAGACACGTAGATGAAAGTTACCTATTTTTTGGGACAATGACACCCCCTTGAAAAAATTTCATCCAAACAAAGTCTTAAATCATATGAAAAGACAAAATTGCCCCTTAATACTAAATTCTTATTTATTACAAAATATTAGATATGTCAAATGACGCAATTGCCCCTGAAATTTTAGGGCCACAAATTAATGCCACTTGGCGTCAGATTAACAACCCGTGAATTGCAAAATATTAGACCTGTTTTTTCTTTTTCTTTTTTTACAAAATTTTGTTCCTCTTTTATTTAATATATTATCTATTAATTTACAAACAAATATGGGTTTTTTTTAAAACAAAATTTTCATTCTTGTTTTCTTTACTAAAATGGGATTTTCTTACAAAAAATTGTACAGAAAATTTCGTTCCAGTTTTCTTTACTAAAATGGGATTTTCTTGCAAAAAAATAATGTACAGAAAATATGGGGTTTTCTTTATGCAGTTTTCTAAATATGGGTTTTTTAAAATTATTTTCTTTACTAATTTGTGATTTTTTTTTTTTTACCAAAATTTTTTTATTTTGATAAATTGTGACAGAATGAAATTAATTTTTTTTTAATTTTTTATTTTAACAAATGGGGGTTATCAATTTTGTTATTACCATAAAATGGAATGGAAAATAACTAAAATAGTGAATTCAATGTGGGTTACAAAGCGAAGTAACACCCAGTGGCATCAACTAGCTCTTGAAAGACATCATTCAGAGAATAACCCATCCATAATATCTCACAATTTTTTTAAGGCAAAATTGAACAACATTGACAGATATAAGTAGGATAAGTAGCACCCATAGACACCCTTTTAGATAGGTCAAACTTTTTTCTTTTTGTAAGAAATTAAAATTTTATTACAGCAAAAGAAATATGCAATTTTGTTATTAATTTTGTTATTTTGAGAAATTGTGGCTGAATGAAAACAAATGGTATTTTTTTTACCAAAAATTTTGTTATTAATTCACACATGGGTACTCTCGTCCAATTTATTAATTTGTTCCAGGATGTATATATATATATATATATATATATATATATATATATGTAGTCTGTATTCCTAACATTGTGACGGTTTGTTCATAAGAGGTAGTTTTGTTCAATTTATTAACTTATAAAGTTAAAAAGGTCAACTAAATGGTCAAAGGGCAATTTGGTCAATTTATTATGCCAGTTGGCTTCAAGGGGTGCTTTTGTCCACTTTTCAATCTTCAAGGTGTGTCATTGTCCCAAAAACATATAACTTTCATTTGAGTGTTTTTTTGACAAACCTCAGGAGGTATTGGTGTACTTTACCTGCTTTCAAAATGGAATATATAATTTCCAAAAATAGAAATAGTGTATAAATTTCCAAAAGCAATAATCCGAATTTCATCTTAGATTAAATCCAATCACAGTGATTAGGGGTGTTAGCAAAGGATGAGGGGTAATCATCCCAGCCCCGATTTCCAAATCAATCTCTTCTCCAAGCTCCCTAACCACCAGGTGACGATGATGCCTCTGCGCCTGCTGAATTAAGTTCATATCGTCCATAGCAGCACCAGAATTCAACTTCCCTAACCCACCCACTGCTACCAACAACATTCAGCATCACAATTTACGATCACTCCTTCAGTCCACTGCAAATAGAAACAGACGCGTTAACATAGGAAATTGTGTGTCTTTGACTTTTAATTCAACAATAATAAAAATCATAGGAGAAATGATAAAATATAAATCACACATAAGAAGAATTGTGTGACTTAAACTTTTAATTTAGCAATGAAAAAAAATTATAAGAGAAATGATAAAATCTAAGTCACACAAGGTGGAACCGAAAGCTGTTAAAAAGAATTATGTGACTTTAATTTTAATTCAACAATTAAAAAAATCATAGGAGAATGCTCATGGTGAGTCCCCTCAATAACTTTTCGTTGCCATGGAATGCCCCCACTCATCCCACACCTCATAAATTCTTAAGTAACATAGAAGATCTGATATATATATATATATATATATATATTCTTGATTTATTAAAACATAGGGCAAATGTATCACAAATCACTTTTCCTCCTCATAAGTCATACATCTATCTTAGATTGTTTTAAAAATTATCAATGATACTTTTCATAAGACCTCTGTAATCATGAATTATTTCAATACCAAGGTTTTACCGTCGTGCTTAATTGTCAAAAGTTCAGATTGAAAGGGCAGAATTTTCAGCTACATAAAAGATATGTAAAAGGTGGATTGTGGTGCGAGGATCAATTTCCACAACTAGAAAGTAAAAGCAATTGAATTAACCTTACGCACCATTAGACGCAAATGTCAACATAACCCAACAAAATCAACCCCGAAACTTTGAAAAAAAAGAAGAAGATATGTAAAAAATTGATAGAGCAGAATACCCCAATTTCTACATCAAATTGAGCTTCACAGCAGCTGATGCGCATGTCTTTTACAGCTTAAACAAATGAGGATGACAATGGAGATGAAAAATTTCCAGTCAAGTCCATCCGCAAACCTAACAGCCAAATTTTACAGCTTTGTGTCACCCCCTAGTCAAAATACACGTCAAAAACATTTATTTACAAAACCAGAGACCGACTCTGTCAAAATGAATGAAAATGATTAAGCTGTGTAAACTTCCTAATTAAGCTACATCACGGTCAGTTGAGCTTTTCAAAGTTTGGAGGAGCAGCAGATTGAAGGTTTTGTTTTTGGAGAGGACCCCCAACCTGCTTCTGAGATTTTCGTCTTTCCTCTCCCTGTGCAGAAGTTAATTTCTGCTGACGGAAACAAGCATCGCCCAACTCCAATTCTGCTTTTCTCTTTACCTTTTTCTTCATCAAAGCATCCAATTTCCTTGTGTCGTTGGAATTGCCTAAACTTCCCTTTACTTTCTCTTGTTTTGTGCAGACCAAACTTGGACCATTCCCTGACGGACTGGGCATTCGGACTGCTGTAGGTGCACTTGCTGTATCAGGCACTGGCCTTTTGAATGAAGCTAGACCATGGTTACCCGAATCAGTAACCAACTTCTCTTGCTGCGGCTGAGCTATAGAATTAGCTTCAACTGGAACACTCCCCTTCTTGATTTTCTCCTGATCCTAGACACAAGTAGGAATTGAGTGATCAGTGAACGGGACAATAAAGTTGCATCACAACAGAAGAAGAGACCTCCACATACAACATTTGCAAGACTGTGGGACTGAACTTTTTAGTCTTTTTTTCAAACCCCAATCCTGCCTCGACCCAAATTAATAAATAAGGAGCTTAGAAATTAGTGTCTACATATTGCTTCAAGTTATGATACCACATTATAGTATACGGCCAACATGGAGACTAAAGCAGTTCCAAATACTCCTGCTTCATACAAGTAGCCTGCCCCTTCCCTTTTTTTTTTCTCTCTTTGTTATCTGAGGATTTTCACACATAAATTTATTATTAAATACTAATTTACAAATTGATTATTTTCTTTGGTATTAGTTTTCAGGAATTTCCACACACACACACACACACATATATATAGAGAGAGAGAGAGAGGGAGAGAAATATTTCTTGCATATCAATTAACTTTTCTTAAATTAAAGAACGTCTCTCTTCTATTAAGAACTCCTTGGCACAAATTTATTTTGAAGCAAAAAACTAAAGCATCCTAAAATATGAACTTTTAATTTATTCAGCCCCAAAATTATGTAGCCTTCCCTAGGTATCAGTGAGATGAAAACTGAAACAATATAATTATTCGAACAACTTAATTGCATCACAAAAAGAAGAAGCTTGTTAAAAAATGGTACACGTCTATTGTGCAATTTCAGAAAAAATGATTCCATGGTATTATGAACAATATTTCCTTGAACATTTTCAGTAAAATACCGTAATTAAGGAAGAAAAAGTTTTTCTAAAATCACGACACTAAGACATTTTTTCCATAGAGGGTGTTAAAAAGTGAATTTATCCCTACAGGAGGAGAGGATAAATAGGTTTACTGCCAGATTCAAATTCAAATACTAATCTCTCTTTTCTATTTTTCTCAGGGGAGAAGCGAATCATCGTAGAAGCTTTGCTTCCGGGATGAAGCCAAGCCTAAAAGATAGACTTGGCGCGGGAGGCCAAAGATCAGGGGCCCAGCTAACACGTGAAACACTCCGCCATCTATCGTATTGATTATATTTTTTATATGGATTTTCTTTTCCTTTCCACCAAGTTGTATGTGCGTAATTCAAGTTTTCACCCCACTCACCTTTTCTCCTCTCTTTGTAGGCCAACCCAAATGAGAGCATTTTATAAAAGGGCTTAAATTAAGAATCCTTAAAAAAAAAAAGAAATGAAAAAAAAAATACGAAAAAAAGAAAGATTGTAGGAAATGGGCCAATACCCCTTACGTAATGGTATCAATGGGCTCCATTCCATCAAGGACTGATACATTGTAGAAATTCATATCCAACGTTTCTTGCATGTTGTATTATAGTCTGTTACAAGACGTGAATATGACAAGTACCTCAAAAAAAACTCTTAGATCTCAGTTTTTCATCTTCCATCCATTCTTCATTCAAAAACTATGGTTCTTTATTATTGGGGGGTGATAAATGCACTCCACTTTTAATGTAAAATGACATTATTGTCCTGACACAATACCTGAGAATCAAGTATGAGGGGCATTTACGTCATTTAGTCTAAGGAAAAAAAAAAAACAGTCCAATTATTCAAGAAGAGTGCATTTATCATTTCTCTTATAGTTTAATTAAATTTATGACTTCATGGTCCAAATAACAAGCTAAAAGTCCTAGTCTTGAGACCAGAGAGTTCGAAAGTCTAAAAGTTGAATTCCAAGAAATGGCTCTACCATCATATGAAGCTGCACCAATGCAAATTTGAATATTTGGTGATTTTTATGATTTGCTTATGCTAGTCACAATCCTAGTCAAGAAAGGTAGTCAGATGTCAATATTCAAAGTATTAACTATAAGAAATTCAAATTCAGAACCCACAAGAAGTCATGTCTTTAAAATTTAACCACTTCCACTGTTCCACCTAAAAGGTAGCAATTTGCCCAAACCTGGCAAGTTCCTGCCCAGCCCTTAGTGGGATGGGGATTGTATATCTTTGTACGGGTTAGGAGGTTTTAAGTAAATAGGATAAACCCGATTTGGGTTCGGGGGGGAACATATATGTGGCTATCCCGCCTCGCCCCAATTACATGAGAAACTACATCTTACCCTTCAATATAATGTTCCACAAACACCCTCATATACATACATATATATATATATATATATTACCCTCACTTTCTTTTACAATTTACATTTCTCTCAGCACCCCTGCCCAACACCATTCCTACTCTCCACTAACAGCAAGAATTTCTGACAACATTTAAGGCCAGCAACATCTTCGATCATCTCGCCGATAATCACAAACACAGTTCAATGACCATCGTAAAGCCAACATACTCTTAAAGAGTTCGGATCGTCCTTCCGATCATCTCTTTCAGCAACTGTCTTAAAGCCAGCACAATCTCTTCTATAGTCATGATCACAGACTCACGGTGCCATCGCGGTAGACTAATTTGAAAAATCTGACACAGTGAAATCCATAGACATCAATCTCCAAAACCTGGTAGAAACTTAGCAGACAGGAATGCCTAAACTTGCTCAACACCTACTCATTTAAAGTCCACGCACAATGTATTGAACCTTCTGCACACTAGAAATAACTAGTGATATCTCTAGAATTTTTATTTATTTTTGTGTGTGTGTGTGTGTGGGGGGGGGGGGGGGGGGGGGGTTCCCATCAAAACTGCATATTGACCACCTGTTGAACATTAAAAAGTAGTCACCTTTATTAACCTTAAAGTTAGATGTTGGGCAAGTTGGTTATGCAATTTCATTGCACTCCTTTACTATTGTTTTTTTTTCTTCTATTTATTCACAGCAAATTAGTGATCAGGGACATGCCACATTGTTGGCATAATAAATGCATGAAAGTGTGTGCACTCTTATTCCAATTAATTCTTTCATAGAAAAAGAGGTGCACTTGTTTCTTGATTTTGGGAATGGCGTGTACGCAGCAACTGACTACATGTCTATAGAATAAGAATTCATTTTCTTTTATTTAATGCACAGTTAGACTGACATGAGTCCAAATGTATTAGGTTACAAATAATCTCATATGCTGATATGTTGAACCAAATCAAAACAAATTTAGACATCACAGACAAAGGTAGATAATTATGAGAACAAGAAGGTATGTTGAGAGAAGCGGACTTCTGCTACCATCCAAAGAATTAAGTGTCAAATAAATTGCATATAGAAAGCAGAAGCTTAAAAAAGGAAGGAGAGAGAGAGAGAGAGAAAAGAGAGTATAAAATAGAATGTTTATACACACAGAAGATGAAAAACATCCATACCTTCTGCTGGCTGTACTTTGCCCTCCTCCTATTTTTCGCTCTACATATAGCACGTTTAATCCCATGGTTGTCCATTAATCCATTTGGCCACAATTCTGCAAGCTGCGTTGGAGCCACAATAACTAAAATGAAGTTTTATGGACATAAATGAAGAATGTTTGCACAGCCACAACAATGAACTACGATGAACCAACTGAAAAGGAACAGAGAGGAAGACTTCTAAACTCAAAAGATAATAGAGACAAAAACATGATACATACTCTCATGTCCTTCTAAGGTGAAAGACATTTAAATATTGAAATTTTAATTAAGAATTTTAGACACAAACAAACAAGTGCATTCAGAAAAGGCTATTATCAGAACTGATTCAACTTCTTCCAGGGCAATCTAATACGTCCTGCTAAATATCAAACCCTCTGAAAGCAGGGAAATAATTATGTAATAGCCCTTCCATCTATCAAAATATACAAGTATCCTCAATCCAACTACCTCAGCATACAGCTTTCTGACTTGTGGACCTGCAACTTCTTCCGGTCCCTAGATACAAACAATAATACTGAGTCAGATACATCATACAATAAGAGAAAATTTTCTCCAATGGAGCACTATCCTCTAAATTTGGATATTGCAAACAGAAAACAGTACTTCAACATAAAGGTCATAGAGATCACAGATCTTCTCTTCCAATGCTTCATCCATGCAACATTTTCTTTTAAGTGATTCTTTCTTTTCATTACCAATATCTTGAAAATCATCAGATGCTCCAGCTTGATGTTCAAGTGCCTGACAAAATATATTATGCATTATGTATCAAGATCTGATTATATAAACTTTCTCATTAATATACAGCACAATCGCCATCAGGAAGATATTATTTTATCCACATAACTCGACAAAGCCCTATTCCCAACTCAACTATTTTCAGGAAGAAATCTTCTCTTTAGTTTCTCATTTAGAACAGTGAGTAATCCATAATTATATGACTTCACACAAATACCAGTCCAGATGTCTCAGGAATTACCTTTTTTTTTTTTTTTTTTTTTGGTGTGTGTGTGTGTGTGGGGGGGGGGGGGGGGGGGGGGGCGGGCGGGTGGTGGGGCGCTGGGGAAAGGGAAAGAGGGTGCTTCAACCAAGATGTACCTTGGACTTCGGGGAGGGAATCACTTTAATCATCTCAACAACTTCCTTCTTTATCTGCTGAAACCTATGATCTTTCTGCTGTTTAGCTGACAAACCCATACTAACCATGACCTTTAAGTTTCTCTGTTGCAAGAACATGCTGTGTTAATCAATAATCAAATACAATTACTGCAAACAAAGCATATGCTACAAATAATATAGAAGAATATGATTGCCCGAAAAACTCATTCATGGTAAATCTAAATTTGCCTACATGCTAATATCATTGCAATCAGGAAAATGAGTAGAATATATGAACTTTGCCAAATGCAGTGCAACTAAATTCTACAACCATAAACACATCCTGCAACCTTATTGTTCTACACAAATTATTGCAACTTCTTAACACAGTCAGGCACATTCTCACATAGCTTGGGGGCAATACACAATATTTTATCCTACTTCGATAAAACCTGAAATTTGATCCACTAATAGTCAAATATATATATATAATGATTATGATCCAAACATTCAGAAACGCTATCCCTATTTGTTCATTGATAATGGTGATATCAGCTTCTCATGAGAAATCATACGGCTTTCATCTACTCAAACAAGAAGAAGAGGAAGAAGAAGAAAAATAATTTTCTCCCTTGGACGCTAGTGAAGAATATAACTATATAAGCTACACACAAATTGGTTTATCCCAAATAGACATACAATAGGCATAGAGGTGAAGTTGGTAAATCACTTGATTAGCACTGCAAGGTAGTGTGGGATCAATGTTTTCTCTGGCAGGAGATCTATTTGTTGTTGACAGAAAGGGCCCTCAATCTGGTTGTGTGATGGGTGTTTGGAGTTGGGATAGGAGGATAAAAGAATTAGGAGTGGGACACCTCACACTTTTTTGTGTATATTGAAGAGCAATCTTCAAAGAAGAGGAGCTTCTACTTTTCTTATCAAAAAATAAAAATAAAAAGGAAAGAAACAAAAGAGCTGATCGTTTATTTAAAAAATCTTCCATCAAACGAATTGCACTAAGGATCTTCTATGGGGTTTACAAGAATCACTCTTTCATCAAGTCCTTGGGTTTCCCGAATGGGTAGTATTTTTTTTTTCCTTGGGTATACCTGACATTTACGTGGCCCTCTGGGCTTTCCTCATTCTTACTAAAATTTTATCATTCGTAAAAAGCCCCAAATTATTCTTAAGCTTTTCCCACGATTTTTTTTGTTCTTTCTTATTTTGTGTACTCACACTAGTTTACCAGATTTTCAAGAATTATTCCAATCCTTGCACCTAACTTTTGCCAAATTTGCATTTCTGTCACCAGTTTCATATCGTACAGATCAGTGCTACAAGCCAGCAAAATAAAGTGAGCCTTTGAAGAAAATTAAAATTATTGGGCACTTGGAAAAGAAGAAGCAGATATCGAAATGCATATGTCAGTTATTCTTACAAAAGAGATACCTTTAGCGATCTGAGCTGTATCCAGTGACCAAGAATACTCATAAGACGATAGATCAACTCCTCTGATATTTTTCCATGGGTTGCTTGCTGCAGCACCCAAAAATATAATGTTACTTTCTTCAAAAGCTTCAGTTTGGAAAAAATAAAATAGAAAATGTGATAGAAACAATAATTCCATAAAAGCACAAAAACAAGGATTAACTAGGTAAAGTCATGTTAGCTAATCTCCAGTACCGCTAATCTAGCAACTTTAGCAAGCTTCTGCTTTACTTCATGCGGTAACCTCCTTTTGACTGCCTGAGATGAAATATCAGCATCCGGAACTTCCATAACTGGTCGTCTTGCTGTCACATATTCAGAGTAATTAATCAATTTAAAAGGAACTTCCTCGAATTATCATAAATTTATGTCATAATTGTCGGAACAATAGTCAAACATACATTCTGCAACCACCTTCTCCAACTCCTTAATGGCCTTCTCGAGCATTGTACTTTTTGACCGAACACTAGAACCTTCCTTCTTGTGCATGATAGGAACCTTCTGCACAATTTTAGATACAAAAGTAACATCGGTGATATAAATTATAAAACATAGATCCCCACATAATATCAAATGCAAATTTAAGGCAGAATATAACTGCTTAAGTTGCACTTACAAGCACATAATGCAGAACAACAACAACAACGATAAACAATCAAAGCCTTCTCCCAACTACTTGGGGTCGGCTACATGAATCCTATTTTTCCATTATGCTCTATTTAAGGTCATAGCTCAGTCAAATGACATGATATCATATCTCTTTACTAACTTTACCCATGTTTGTGTTAATTTCGGTCTTTCACTTCCCAACAGTCTAAAACCATAGTAGCTAAAAGAGTGCCATAAGTATGGAAACAATATATCTAGTATAAGAAATTATTAGCATACGGAAATGACACAATTACAAATTAAAAGAATAAGCATTGAGACCTGTGACATTCTTGAAACCTTCATAACTCTTTAAGAAATTTACAGGCTTATCACTTGCAGGAATGATGATGAAAATGCAGGCTAAAGATGATAACAAATTTGAAGATATCAAAAGTGATAAATTCATCAGATGAATCTTGGCACAAACTTGTGCTGAAGTAAAGTAACGTACTGTAGACAGAAATGAAAATAACAACGTTCAAACTTGCATTGAGCTCAATTTGACAAACAAAATTTAGAAGCTAAATTGGGGATGAATGACATGTTGCGTAAATAAACTAAGTCACAAAAAGCCATAAACTACTAACCAATCCAAAATCCATTGATGTAAAAGGCAAGGAGATTTAGCACACAACAAACCAATCCATTGATGTGACAGAAACACATAGGGAAATAAGAAGTCACTTAAGACTACTAACCACAGTTTGCATGGAATACTTGCCTCTGGGACATTGATGTCAAGACGTTCAAGAATACCATTTTGTTCTTTCCGCTGAACTGATTGCTCTAACTCATCGACATTGTTCAATAATTTTCCAGATTGAGATTTGAGTTGTGGATAAGAACTTTTGTCACGAGATTTCTGATGTGAAGCATCAGAAAGTTCAGTGCCATCTTTCAGTTTGTTACCATGGTTCTTAGACAGGAGGACTCCAGTCTTCTGGTTTTCAAAATCCTTCCCCTCCACAACAGATAAAGCAGCACCACCATTTGGAACTTTTGAAGAAGGATACAGATCCAACAACTTAGTATCAGCAGATTTCTTTTTTGAACAAATTACAGAAGCATTCATCTGATTCCGAAATTTCGCATCTTCACAATGTTCAGTTGTCACGGCCATACCCAGAGAGGGACTAGAAGAATTCTTCACAAACAATGACGGTGACCTTCCAGCAGCCGCCTTTCTGACTTTTACCTGTTTATTCGGCACATGACCATCATCATTCTTACCATGATCTTTTGCAGAATCTTTCCTTTTCCGCTTCTTCAGTTGCTGGTGAGGCGATGAAGTGGGTTCATTGCTAGGAATCGGGAAACGGATTGAATCAGGAAAGAAAAAAGAATATCCAAATAAATATAGCAAAAAAGTTCATTAATCCATTTGTCTTGCATAAACCAATATAAATAAAGCCTTCTCAAGAAAACACAAAAAAATTATTCCCAAAATCTAAAAAAATTTAGGATAGTGAAACAAGTCAACTTTACCAACATCCAGTTTTAACAAAAAGAAACATAAATGAATGTACCAAAAAGGAAAGTTCAAAGGTGAGTGACAAATAATTCTTGATGCCATCAACAACAAGGTATAATGGATTCTTTCTCCGCCACCAAAAGAAAATTTGAAAACTTATCAGATAATTAAGAAGAAAAGTATGCATCCATAATTGTACTGTTGCTGATGACAGTGTACATCCCATTTCAGATCTTGACAGTTGACACCCCATTCCTTATGGAAAGATACTCAATTACCTTGCAGTTCTTATTAATTGTGTCAATCCTCCAAACTTATTTATAATAACACTATCAAAGCATTTGAAAAATTAAAGCTCCAGATGCCTACTTATATCTTGAGAGAAAATTTTTATCTTCAAACAACATTTTACTATACAAAACTACAAATCTCAGGACTGTCCCACGATTAAGTCATTAAGGAATTTCTTGAATTATAACGCAGGCAACATGTGGTTGGATGTCTTGATGGTCATATTTATCATTAAATCTTCTAACTATGCCAAATACAAGGGGAAGCAAACAAAAACTAGAATATAGTCAACTAATGTAAATTATCACAACAGAAACAATACTAACAAAGTGCTCAGAGAAACTCACATGCGTTCCAACTTCCCCCGATTAACAAAGAATCCATCATGCTTTATTCCTGAGTTATCAACTTGAAAATACTCATCCTGCACAATAGGAAAACAAGGAGCATTATGAATAGCAACATTAGTGCATGCAATTTTCTCATATGAATAATATAACCAATTTGAGCAAAAAAGATTAACCAGCCATTCAAAAAATACAGATATATTAGACAATAGGTACCAATACCAACCAGCTCTGCGTCATCTATGAAAGAATCTTCTGTGTCATACTCATCATCATCAGGAACATCATAGAGATCTTCCTCATCACTACTATGCTTACCCTGAACAGTATAACTCTTCACATTAGCAAATTTATTTTAAATATCATAATGTTGCATTTTCATCACATATAAATATCAAAACAGTTGTCCAAATGCACAGCACTCACAAGAGACTCATACAAGTGGAAAGTTAATTAAAAAGTAACATTGCGCACCATATATAACCGTTCGATCTTCTCAATAACCGCGCTAAAACGACTACCAGAGGGTGCATCCTTCAATTCCTTCTCAGCAGGTTGCCCCTACAAAGGTGAAGCACAATTAACAACTGCAAGGACTCGACTCAAAACAATATTGTAAGTGGAGAAGGATACAGGTATATTGTATGTTATCCAATATCACTTCATAGAAAGTGCACGCAAAGATACTTGATGTAATTAACACTAGATCATCGGTTGAAGACATGAACGCGGACGTTGGACATAGTGTAACGGACATGGGGCGGTACCGGATGTGACATATTGTAATTGGTTATCGTGGTTGTGAAATTTTCCCAACCTCGCACATCATCAGATGCCTTGTACTGACTCAGCCCAAGTGCCTAAGGACTTGGTTGAGTCTCATGTGATTCAAATTCCCACTGATATATCGGCATCTGACTTGAATTTGACGTAGTTGCAGAGAGCCAGAGACTAGACTGGTCTGCAAAACTATGCACTAGATTATGCTTACAAAGACTTAAATGGAGGCTAGGGAACTAAAGGACATTCATAATGAGATAACCTTGGGTAACATGCAATGTTCATCTTATGAAAAAGCCACTTTAACAAAACAAAACCACTATTTCACATGCAGTAAATCTTAATTAAAAATAAATAAATAAAAAAAAAAAAAAAAAACAATGTATACAGCACAGTTTGTGTTATAAGATACAAAACTGAGCATATTCATGTAAACAAAATTGACCGCAAACATGTGATACCACAAAAGAATTACGCTGCATGGCATATGAAAAAAGCAATACTGATTATGAGTATCCATGCCTACCAAAAAAGGGCGCATAACGATATCATATGCATGTCACTACCTTACATGTTAATCTAAACTCCACTTTTGTCCTATATTTAGATAGGCAAGCATCCATCAAGCAATGTATTGGAGATATTTGTAGTCACGAATGCTATTCATTACTAACACATATAATGACCATTACAAACGCAAAGAATCACATAACTACAATCACATAATTACAAGCACAATCAAGCAATATCAATTTCATTGAGAGACATGTCCAACAAATATAAATATAAATGCAAGTACATATATGAAATAAAAATTCAACAACAGGTTACAAGTACGATAATAGCATAAGTACTGCAGATAATACATAAGCCATAGAAAAGCCAAACTTTTTGTAATTATAGAGACCACCAAATTCAAAACTTGAGAATAATTTTTTAAATTGGAGAACAAAAAGAAGCCAAATAAAAGAAAAAGACATGATATACAGAATCATTTCAGTTACAAAGAATAAAATAAGGATCACTAAATTAATATTTGCAATATAATTATTATGTATTGATGCCCAGGATACATGACAATTCATAAGCTTTTGGTAGGACAAAAGTGTAGGATCAAGTATGAAACCGTAGCATTCAGTCACACATTTCTATACAGAAATAAACATCGCTAAGCATAAGGAAATGAGATGTGTAGCTATTAGATGTTTACATGCCTTTTTGATTGCATGGTCATCCAACAGAAAAACTGAATGTTTAAATAGATGAGTGAGCCTCTCAAACATTGTGGAACCATTAATCTGACATTAATCTGTTGCATTCAGAGTATGAAATCACTCCTGGTACAATTTTAAACATGATAGCACCTCGTATCACAGTTTCACATATCTTGAATCAGAGGAGTGATGTCGATTAAGGCCAATGCCAGTGAGAGGCTTACTAAAGAGCAGGGAAGGGGCTGCGTTCAGAGGAGTGTTAAATTTGGGATGTGGCCCCTTTGTGTGTCATTTGGAATATTTTGATGCAGAGAAATAGAAGACCTTTTGAAGGACTGAAACTCCTTTCTTAGAAGTTGAAGCTCTTGATTCTTATCTACCTCTTTCTTTGACTTAATGAGGCTGCCTCTATCTCTACTGATTCTTCTCTAAATATTTTTAGGTGATTTGCCACTCTTGCCAACCCTGTTAGCCTTTTAAAAATATTTTACTTGTCCAAAAATAATAATAAAATTAATAAAACACCAATTACATCAAGCTGCAAATCAAGGTCAAACTATCCTTTGTTTACAATGACCTATTTTCTATTCACCTACATTTAAGTGCACTTGTATCTGGTATTCTCCAGTGCTAAAACTCTGTGGCGGAGTGACGTGGTGACCAGTGGGGCCAGCTGTCCCCACTCAAAATTGCAAAAAAGAAGATAATAATAATAATAATTTAGTCTTGACATCCAAAATGAAAAATATCATTAGTTTTTTTCTCTTCCAATGTAAAGCAAGAGAGAGGGAGAGGAAGAGAGAGAGAGAGAGAGAGAGAGAGGAAGAGTAGTAGGAGGAGGGCGGAAGAAGCACGTTCCAGCATCTTTCTAAGTTTAGTTTTCGATAGCTTAAGTTCTTAAGGTTAGAATTTTCTCCTTTTTCTTACTTTTTTTTTCCTACTCAGGGTAGGGTTAGAACTTTGTCTCTGCTCTTTATTTGCTTTATAATATATTTTATTTTCTATTTTATTAAAAGAAATCCATGAACTTGCAAATCTTTTAGTTGTATTTTCACTCTAGTTTTAGGGTTGATGCCGTGTGTTTACTATTTAGGTTACTTTCTAAACTAGTATTCACATAATGTGTTATGTAATTTTTTTTTCCCCAGAAAAGGTAAGTAGTGTTATACTGTTCTGTAATTCATTTCATATAAACCATTTTCTCAAAATCATACCAAATTACAATTATCTATGAAAAAGTATATGACATAACCTAAGACAATCAGCTAAAAGTCTTCAAGCATATGCTGATTAACACCCACATACCTGAATGCTGAGAAATTATAACTGTGTGACATTTGAGTTCTCATAACCCAACGAGCCACGATATGAATGACATTTTTTCACAAGTTGAATGTTTTATTGCGACCTTGTAGCTTGACCTAATAAGCTACTATCAGCTTCAATAACAGTGCATTATGTCATTCAACCACTTACTGTAGCTTGGTTGTGTATGTTTAGAAAGACATGCTTAATGCATTGATTGAGGTTATCGTGCAAAGCTTTCGAAACATAAAAACTTGTCCAGAAGAGTTATAAATATTCTAACTCTATCAAATATTAAAGTTTTTGTACTAATTGTTTTGTTTCAAAAAAATGTTTACGTTATTATTGTTAAATTCCTGGATCCCCCAACTGACAAAACTTGTGGTTTAGCCTCATTCTTCATATACCTAACGCAATAGACAACCGAAACAACCAACCAGAATTGCTGCATCATAAAGCATCAACTAGTAAAAAACAGCTAATTAACATGACTAAACAGTGATTAGCAGACAACAAATAAATCTCCAAAACCAAATTCAGAGACATATTTAACACCGATTGGATCAAACCAACTCATTTTTTTTTTTTTTTTTTTTTTGATAAGTACGGATCAAACCAACTCTTACCGGAGCAATGCGAGACTCCAGAGCCTGACGAGCATTGGACGGTGGTTCAGGGGCTGAGGTGGACCCATTGGCCTTGCTCGCATCCTTCAAAAGCTTTCTCCACGAAACAATTGTAGTCTCGTCAGGTCTGAGTTCCACTGTGAACCTCTTGCGACCACCGGCTGCCATGAAAGATGACGAAATCTTCGCAGATTCACCGCCTCCAGTGCCGCCCTTGGCTTCCTCCATCGAATCGTGCAGAATCGAAGGCAGAGGAATCTGATCTAGGGTTTTGACATTGCAAAGAGCAGGGTGATTGTAAACCCTAGGTTCAAGAAACGAATTGCTTAGAGAGAGAAAGAGTAGTGAGAGAGAGTAAAGAAAGGAGGGGGAGTGGGCGCTCTCTCTCTTCTTTGAATTTTTTTTTCTTATTCGATCTTTGAGAAATGCGCGGGACACAGAAACGTCTGGAGTTTTAACCGCTAATCAACTTTTTCCCTTTCCTTTCCCGTCGTCCCTAACTTCGACGGCTTGTGCTCTCGCTTTTCTTTTTCTTTTCTTTTTAGGTTCACATTTTTTTATTTGGAAAATGATATTTATGGAGATTAAATTGGTAAAATGTTTGATAAAATTAGGGGAGTTCAAAAAATTCAATAAATTGAAAAATTGGATCGGATGAAACTGAACTGGATGGTTTGGGCTAGTAGTATAGTAGTTTGGTCCGACTCAAAATTATAAAACCGTAATTTTACGATCCGGTCCTGTTTTAAAGTCTTGCTGGACCGGACTAACCCGGTCTAAACCGAACCATTATATAATTTATATTATATATATATATATATGATATAACTTATAATTCTGAGTGGACATAAGTTACTCCCACTTCCCACCTTTCTCAATAAAACTACTCCCAATTTACCCAATTTTCATATTTTTTGAACTTTTCTTGGGCCATGAAGAAGCTAGCAGCGAAATGATGGGCTACAAGAAGAAAAACATCATATGAAAAATACCAAATAATAAAAAACTACGCAATTAGAGACCAAATGGTGCAAAAATAAAACATAACCATTATGGACCAGAGTAGATTATTGGTTTTTTAAACACTAAAGTGGAAGAGTAGTGTTTGTTAAATTGTATTATATATATATATATATAATAAATATATATTGAATCTATTTGTTATTTCACAAGCTAAGCCCATATTGTTGGTTGTTGTTGATGTATTATATATAGGAAAAAATAAAATAAAAAATCTATTTTTAAAAAATAAAATAGGAAATCAACTAAAACCGAATCGAATTAAACCGGTTTTTGTGATTTGGTTTGGTTTGATTCTATTGACATTATGGTTCGGTCTGGTTTCAAAAATAGTGGAACCGTTATAGATGGTTTGGTCCAAAAAAACTTCCAATCTGATCTAAACCGTACCGTATGCACCTCTAGATAAAACTAAAAATTGGGTTGAATTTTAAGTAGTAAAGTTTTAAAATGGTAATTAAAAAATATTTAATTTTTAAAAATTTCAAAATTAGGATAAAATTGACATTCACTTAAAATTTCATTTCATTTTAAGTAAAATTTACTATTTTAAGTGCTATTTAAATTTTGAGCAAAATTACAAAAAGATATTATAACTGATTTACATTGATATGTATTTTAATTAATTGATAAATTTCTTGTAACATATATATATATATTTTTTTACCTGGTATATTATTACTATGTGTATTTTTACATTTCGTTTGGATATAATGAGTTAGATTTTAAAAAATAAATCTAAAATAATACATAATGCATAATGTGAAATAATAAAAAATATATATAGTTTATGTTGCCGATCCCTCCTCCATATAGATGACACATGAGTAAAAGGAAAGAAACTATTGTATCACTTCCCTCTGAATTTTGCAATTGGACCCAAAAAAACGAAAAAACATTTGTTGTGTCCACATGGCTTCATTCCAGTGGGACAAATAGCCGATTGTATTTTTTTACAGAATTTCTACCCGCACAGTAGCGAAACCATAATATCCAATCCAAACATTTTCCAAATACTTTCTCTCTCCTCACTCCACAATACCCACTGAAAGCTTCGAACTTCGAAGCCATGATAGCCTCTTCCCTCCTCCTATCTCCACCACTACTCCTCCCTCCAAAGCTCTCCACACTCACCGCAACACCGTCACCACATCTGATTCCCACCCTCACCTTCCCCTCCCTTAGGCCCAAACCCAAGCCCAGCCCATTCTCCGCCCCCAGGCCCGACTTCAGGGTCTGGGCCGACGATGGGGACGCCGACGGCGGAGGCCCGGACGACTATGACATGGACGAAGAGGAAGCCGAGGAGGTTGACAACAAGAAGGACTATGACGTTGAGTATGACCCACTCGCTGCAGCCGCAGCCGCCGTTGGCGGCGGTGACGAAGACATCGAGATGGTCCACAGCAAGAGCTTCGTGTTGACTCAGGGTTGGGAATCGGAGACGATCGTGGATTATCGAATAAACGAGGACGAGTTTCACAAGATTAGCTTGCTCGATTGCGATTTCTTTATCAGGAAGCCCCCTGATCCTGATAACGATGTTTACGATTTCAGGGAAGTGCGTTACTCTCTCTAGACTCGCACGCAATATACATATAGTACTAATTTTAGACATTTGTGTTGCTAAATAGTTTCTACATGTTTGTCAATGTAGAATTTTATAAGATTATAATTCAAACTCTGAAACCCTCACAATGAACACTTTTTGAATATTAGAAAGAATTTGAATGTGAATGCTGATGAAATACAGGGATTGTTTGGTGAAGTCTCACAAAGAACTATTTTTTTAACATTACTAGAAAGAATTTGTATTTAAATGCTGATGAAATAGGGGATTGTTTGGTGGTGTAGATGTATGTTACTCCTCCAGATACGGATATTTACGCCATTCCTAGGGTTCTCGCACCGATGCCTCAGAAGGTACATGCTTCTCCGTCTCTAATCAAAGGGTAGTGTTCATGAACTGTTATTGTTTGATCTTGTTTTAGATGTTTATTGTGCATAGAATTTTGAAAGAAGCTACTTTAATGTACAATTTTTGTGTTTATTGTTTTAATTGATGTTGTTACGCTTTGTGTTAAATTTATAGTACATCCGATGTGCAATGAGTGATTATGGATGCTACAATGTTACGGAACCACCTATTGATGCTCCTAGAGATCCTTTATATAAATCTGAGAGGGAGATCTCAAAGGTATGATTGAACCATCCTATGTTGTATGCCATCCCATTAATGTATTTGATATAAAAATTCTGTTTAATGACTTGGAGGATGGTTGCGGTTTTATATATGTCGTTATCTATGTCTTGAGCTTTGCTACATTTTAAGGCTTAGGGGATTGCGCCAAAACATCTCACAAAAGTATTACAGCTGATCAATTCCATATCATGGTTTCTTTTTTCTGTAACAAAGTTATAGAACTGAGGAGTCAAGGAAGAAATGATTATTTTATTTTTTATTTTTTTGTTGTTGTTGGTCTAAAAGGGATGGAAACTAAAAGTTTACATTGACAAGTGAGCTCGAAGTAGTTTCTTTACAGGGCACCTGAAAAATTGAAGAATGGTTAACAAATATGTATAACACAATGATCTATGTGGTATAATTTGCACTAGAAGACATTGGATCACATTCTTAGTGAAATGACTTCTAAATTTTCCTAGACATCATAGCCAACAACATAGATTATTAATTGGGTAGAAATGGTTGATGTGTTGGCAAGGTGGATTGGACATATTTAATATTATGGGATATGCATGATACGTAGCCTAGGTGCATCTTCAATCAGACATGTTGGGTCGTGCCATAGCCATACCTTCAGGGCCTGTGTCAAACATAGATACTTAACGTAGAAGTGGTCATGTAAAATGGACCTTATCCCACAAAGCTAAATCATTATCTTTCCTTCATAGTTTTAACTTTTTAACACTGTTAAGAGATTGGGTGTTGGGTCCTTCACAGGTGATGTTCAAGTTATGTTTCTTGGAGTTGTGGATATTTATCATATTTGTTCTAGTAAATCCAATAACTATAGGTAAACCCGTGATCCTTGTGCTACTCATCTACAACCAGTCCAGCCTTGATCTAAGTGCCATAACCTGAATAATCCCTTTCCATTTTGCATTTGAGGCTGGCCAGATGAGGTTGAGTTTAAGATGATTAATGGATAATTTTGTTCAAGGAGTTTAAAAATAAATAAAAAAAGCTGTAGTCACATCTCTGCGTCCACTAAGGTAGAGAAATTCACTTTCAATTTGTATTCTTTTTAGTCACTAGACACCATTATCTCAATCTTTCTTAGGTAGTTCAACCCTATTCGGTGTTGTTTCTCCACCACATATTATTTCTCTTCCTTGATAATACTTGTTCTCACCATTTCTGGTCAACTATTACAGTGGATGAACACAAATTTAACTTATGAAACTGAGAGGGGAGAGTGAGACAAAGAGAATCGGCTGGGGACTCTCTTTACCTTAATTTGCACTTGCTGGAGTTAATATTAGACCATTATCTAAGCCCATCTGAACATATAACATTATAGGGATGATTTTTCTAAAAACTATGTTGGTAGCTGGGATCCTACATATCTTTCGGTTGCAGTCCCGTGAGATCGAGTTTCAGATGGTCATTCTGATCTCTCATATTGACATTTTGGTTATAGCTACTTTATCAAGAATTAATGATATAAGATGTTTTAACAAATGTAGATGATAAAGGTTAACATTTACTAATTGAGTTATTGAAGTGTCTAAGTAGTTTGTTATTTGTTGCAGGTTTTCTTGACAAAGCACTACAGGAACCGGAGATTGGGAGATCCAGAGTTCGCGCTAGATTTCGAGGAGATTTATGTTATTGATTCAAGAACGAAGTCAATTACCAGAGCAAAAGTTTTGGTAAAGAATGATTTCGACTGTTAATTTCTTCCATTTTAACCTTTTTGCAGCCCATTGATTAGAGAGAACCAAGTATGCAGTTCCTTTACAATAGCTGCTTTAATTTACAGTGATTATTCGTTACTTGTGTTCTGCACAAAACATTTTACCTCTGTATAGTTTCCTGAACTTTGACCATGAACCTTAATTTTAGCAAGCAGGTAAAACTCTAGTGCCTAATGTGGGACTGAAGGTTGTTTACTCTTAATCCTAAGTACACAGGCATCCATTCCATGTAGGGATGTCAATTTTTACCGCCCCGCCGGAACTCCATTCCGTCCCGCCCCGTTAATAAAGGATATGGAAACACTTTTTATACCGTTGGGGCGGGCATGGATACAAATTTTGTACCCGTCGCGGGTCACGGGGCGGGTAAGGGTTCAGTATACATATCCTAGGAGCCCCGCCCCGTTAAGCATATAACTATATTTTATATATAGATATATATATATATATATATATATAAACTTGGTATTAAATTTGCTTTTGTTTTGGATATGGTGGAAGTTGGAGTTTAGAACTTCTTGTGATTTGGTTGTATTAAACTTTTATTTTTGTTTATTATGTTCTCTGAATTATGTTATGTGCATGTTTTTTTTTTTTTTTTTGTTGGGATATATAATTTCATTTATGTTGTGCCATTCCCAGGCTTTCCACATTCAAATAGCATGAGCTTAAGTTCCAAAAAGTGGGAGAAAAAAATTTGTTAGCTGGGCGGGCACGGGGGCACAGTATTTCCCAACGGGGCGGGACTGAACAGGAAAATCCAACCCGTCGAGGGTCTCGGGGCGGGCATGGACTTGATAAAAAATAAAAGGGGTGGGGCGGGATTTAGGGAAACCCGCTCCAAACCCGCCCCGTTGCCATCCCTAATTCCATGATACATCCTCTTTCTTTCTGACCTTAACGCGGCCAATTTAGTGGAAATACTCGTGGTATTAACTTCCCAAAAGTTCCTTCAAAATGTAGTGAATATTTACTACCTGTGAAAACTAACAATGAAATCCAGAAATCTTGATTTTCTACCGTACCAATTTATTTAGTTCTCTTGCATCTTCGTGAAGACCTGGATTTTTTTTTTTTTTAAATCAGTAAAAATTGTATAAAGAAGCATTCAAAAGGGGAACGCATCTCTTAGAAAATACACAAGGCCTAATAGGGCCTCTAAACTCTCAGAGGGTCCAAAAAATCAACTATCTCCTCCATGATTTTCAATATCTCTCTATAACCCAACAAAAAAAAGTGCTAATAATAGAGAATTTGAACTCCCCCATAGGAGTCTCCTTTCCTTCGAAGGACCTCCTATTTCTTTCAAGCCACAAACGCCACCAGATGCAAAAAAGCGTAACCCTCCAAAAATCACGAACTTGTGCCCCCACTATACAACCTCGCCAAGCCTCAATCAAATTTCTAGGGGATTTGGGCATAACCCACTATACCCCAAACAAACTCAGCAGTAAGGCCCAAGCCACGGTGCAATGCAGAAGAAGGTGATCAACCGTTTCCCCATCTCTTTTACACATGTAACACTGATTGACCGCTACCTGTCTTCTCCTTCTTAAGTTCTCCTGGGTTAAGATCTTCCCTAATGTGATACTTCTGGATTTCCGAATGCGGGTTGGCCAGGCCCACGCCTGAATACCCGGAGATATAAAAAACAAACTGGTAATAAACGAACACAGAATACAAAAAGATAAATAAGAATAAATAAGATGCTAAAAAAAAAAAAAAAAAACTAAATTGATAATCCAATATTTAAAATCCTCATAATATATTTCCATTAAATAATAAATCTCCTGATACATCCAATCCTCCAAAATACAACTCGGGAATCCATACTGTGTGGACCCATAGAAAATCCCAAACTGATAATCAACAGTAACAATTGATTACATCTAAATACTGAAATATAAAGTAACATCTTATGTAGAAGATCCGAAAGAATGATAATGACTGGTCTCTGCTCTGTACGATCAAAATCTAAATAGACCTGAAAAATAAATAATGGGTCAGGCCCACAAACAAGTTCTTTCTACTACATCTAACAGAGATCTAAGGAACGAATACATCCTAGTCAACTCATGTAATAGCTAAGTAGTCCGTATATATATAGATACACACTAGAGGAACCTCACTAGACTATAGGGTTGTCTCAACCTGAATAGTATGCAATATGCAAAAACGCACATATAGTGGGCATAAATACCTAGACTTATCAGGGTATACAACTACACTATATCTTGCTACACATCCCTGACAATATACGCACCATAATCATGATCCATGATCCTGAGACGCAAGCTCATATCATGTCATATAACTATATATATATAATCCGTCCTATCCAAACATAAAATAAATCTGGTATGTCATCTAACTGATTCAATTGACCTGACATGAATATAAGTAGGACTTAACATTTTAGTTAAACTATTTCTTTATACATGAATAGGTAGGATTTAACGTTTTTAGTTAATCCGTTCTTAATATGCCACCATCCCATACTGGTGCATATAATGCATACAATCCACAAATGATGCTACAGTTATAATATCACATCAAATAAATCCATACATAGCATGATATAAATCATACAAATATTCCTTTCATTTAATTGAGCAAAATGTAACAATTCTAAGTAGCATGCATTTAATTTACGTCATAAGAAATTAACATGCATCTCAATTGAATTGTACACCTCCACATTCTAACTAAATTAATTTAAATCTAAACAATTGATTAAAACAATTTAATCCAACCATATTTAATTAATATATTATCAATAAGCGTAGCTTATTAACTACCTCCATGATCACATCCCATATAAACATTAGTCTCATCCACAATATTATTTTAGAGATAAATTAAATACCACAGCCAAAGACCATTTTTATAGATCACAAGGACATCCGTTCATATAATTAAATCATAATTAATAATATGAATTTAATTAAATGCATATAACATTCTCCCAAAAATGATTTACAATTTAATAATTTATAAAATCATTTATTAATCCAATTACTTGTATTAAAATAAATACCACGTTACTACCAATTTAAACATTATCTTTATTTTTCACTAAAGTGATAAAACCAACCAACCACCAACTAGTGTCCAAAAGTGGTTATATTAATTAACCACATATCATGTTACACATTATATTATATTGATATTCATGTTATTATCCTATTGGTCCACTAACTAGTATCCAAAAGTGGTTATATTAATTAACCACGTTACACGTTATATTATTCTATTGGTTATAATAGTTTTAGGATAAAATATGTATCAATAAATTAATATAATGTACGATATATTTTATTACCAATACGTAGCAATAAACGTTATCCAAATACCCAATCACTAATTAACAAAAATACCACTTACAATGTTAAAACAAACCAAAAACAGACAATAGAATACGCTGCCTTAACAAGGAATTTCGGTCGACCGATTCCCTAATTCGATCGACCGAAACAACTATATCGGTCGACCGATACACCTTCATCGGTCGGCCGAAGCACTCACATCGGTCGACCAAAACACCTACATCGGTCGACCGAAACAGGTCGTCTTCTTCCTCGCGACGGCTGTTCCAGACCTGTAATTCCACTGTTCGGGTCCTAAATTGTTGTATTGAATTCTAATATGATTATCTGTGTTATTTAATACAAAAATACACAGGCCCAACAATTAAAACAAAGAATCACGCATTAATTTACAGAATCACATACAATCAAGAACCCACAATAAATACATAATTAGTTCATGTTTTAATCCGATTAAAGCATGCAAACAGATTAATTAATCTTGTATAATCACTCTAAAGTAGTCCTAGACATGCATTGAACCCCAGATCAAAGAAGAGGAGTAGAACAAAGAACTTGCTTTTAAGGGTTTTGAATTAAAAACCCATCTCCTTTCTTCTCCGGCCAATTCCTGAACGCGGTGACCTTGGATGCCGTCGTCCTCCACCCTGCTGTTTTGGTGCGTCACCCACAGCAACCCTCCTTCTTCTTCTTCTTCTTCTTCTCACCACCTCACGTTTTCTCCCTCTCTATAACTCTCTCAACTCTCGGCTTCTCTCTGCCCTCTCTATATACTTCCCGTAAAATAGCCTTCCCCAAACTACTACAATATAGATATATATAAGCTATCATAAACTAACCCTACACAAATCCTAATTGTATAAGAAAAAGAAAAGAAAATAAAATAACTTAAAATAATAATAATACTAACTATATATATCATCTGATACGTAATATATTTATATATACACACATAAAATATATATATATATATAACTCCTCCATGATATATAATTACTAAATATAATAATAATAATATTATATATATACCATATATATATATATATTGATTTATATATATACATATCTACAAAAACTACCATGTATTATTAATAATAATAAATACTAATAATACATACCATGCTAATCCACGTATATACATATATATATATATATGCCCATTACTATATATATGTATATCTATATAACTACTTCATACATTATTATTAATAATAATAACTATTATTATACTAATAATAATATCCATATATATATATAAAACCAATGCCCATGGGTCATAATCCTATCCATTTAGGCTCCTATCCATTTAGGCTCCTATCCAAGTAGTCCATGTGATCTATTTGGTTGGTCCATTACTACTATCCAAAACCATTCCTTTTAAATTAAAATAAAATAAAATAAAGTAAATAATTTAAATACAAATAAACATATAGCATGTAAACAAAGAATTACACATCATCACTTAATTCTACAATTAATTACAAATAATTAAACGCATCATCTAAACAAATAAATTCAAATAAATCATTTAAGCACACAAATTACATATAAACAATTAATTCAATTAAACACATAAACAAATAGCCACATAATCAATTAAATAATTAAAAATGCAATTAAAACAATTAAATAAATACCGAGACTATCCTTTTAAAATTAAGAGTATTACACCTAACACCGAAGTCCATGCAAAAAAAGCCATTTTGAGAGGGGCCTTGGATCTCCAAATAGCCTTCCATGGGAAAGACTCCCCATGGGCTTCCATAATGCACCTGTAGAAAGACCGAACACTAAAACAACCCTGGGAAGAAGGAACCCACACCCATGAGTCAGAAACATTGCCCGTAAAATCCTGTCTGTGTGCCATTTCCAAAAGACCAATGGCATCTTTGATCTCCCAATCCTGAAAATGCCTCAAGAAACGTATGTCCCAAACAGTTCTCCTACTATCAAGACAATAGCAGTCAGTCACAAAAACGTGTCTATCCATAGCAATCCTTACAAGCCTGGGAAAAGTGATGGCAAGAGAGTGATCGCAACACCAAATATCCTCCTAAGAGCAGATCCTCCTCCCATCCCCCACTCAAAATCTAATGTGTTTTGAGAATTCATCACACTCATTGCGGATGGACTTCCGACCCCCAACACCATAAGGGATACTCACCTCCCTAGAACACCAACCACCTCTCTCCTCCTCAAATCTGCTCGCAACCATCCTTCTCCATAGTCTATGCCTCTCCACCCCAAATCTCCACAACCACTTGTTAAAAGGTACCAGTATTCTATTACCCAGACCTCCCAAAAGAATTGGACTGCAAACCTAATCCCATCGAACCAGATGAAACTTGAACTCATCCCCCATCCCACCCCAAAGGAAATTACGTTGCAGCCTCTCAATCCTCTCAACCACAGAAAAAGGAATCTGAAAAAGAGAGAGAAAATAGGTTAGAAGACTTGACAAAGTGCTCTTCATCAAAGTGACTCTCTTACCTTTTGAAAGATACTGCATTTTCCACCCAGCCAACTTCCACTCAAACCTTTCCACAACAAGGTCCCAACATCCCACTCGCCTCGACGGTGCCCCAAGTGGCAACCCCAAATAAGAAATAGGAAAAGAGTCGATGTTACAACCCAAAATGTCAGCTAGAGTGGAGATCTCCGGAACCTCCCCAACGGGAACCAAGATACTCTTACCCACGTTCACCCTTAAGCCAGAAACGACTTGAAACCAGGTAAATAAACAACTCAAGTACCTCATCTGAGACTCATCCGCATCACAAAAAACCAAAGTGTCACCTGCAAACATCAAATAAGATATCTTTAACTGACTAGAAACGTCTCTACCCATCCGAAAACCTCGCAAAAAGCCCAAATCCACAACCCTCCTCATCAATCTACTGAGGGCTTCCATCACAACGAGGAATAAAAAGGGTGAAAGCGGATCACCTTGTCTCAAGCCCCTCGAACTACTAAAGAATCCTGTCGGAGAGCCGTTCACAAGGACCGAGAAAGCGAACATTAGAGATAAAAACTTGATCCATCTCTCACCAAATCCATCCTCTCCAATAAATAGAGAAGGAAGCTCCAACTAACACCTGGGATCCCACTGTAAAGGCTAAAATCCACACACTCACCAGCAATTAGAACGGAATCTAAATTTTGACGGCCTCCAACAAAAGCATTCTGAAAATCCGAAATGACCCTATCCAAAACATCCCTCAACCTCAATGCAAGGACCCGTAAATTTGTTAATGCATCCCACCAAACTATGACTCTCTGTGAACTTCTTATAGAAAGAGGCAACACCCTCCTCCTCATAGACCTCTTCTTCCTTGCAAGACATCTCTCCTTCCGCACGAGTCCTCCCAATATGGTTACCTCTACGATGAGCATTTGCAAGCCTATGGAAGAAGTTTGTGTTTCTATCCGCCTCCTTAAGCCACAAGGCTCTAGATTTCTGCCTCCAAGAAATCTCATCCAAGGTGACAATCTCTGCATTCTCTGCCTTGCACTCCACCCTCCTATTCCTCAAAGCCTCCTCAAGGTCACCCATCCCCTCCTTCCGATCGATCTCTGCAATCTCAGAAAAGGCACGATTCTTCCTCCTTAAGCCACAAGGCTCTAGATTTCTTGTTTATACTGCATTTAAGTGAGTGGCCATCTATTATTTAAAGCAGTGACTTTATAGTGTATAAACTTAAAGGACTAGGTTATTGAGTGCGAGGGGTTCTTGCAACTGTCACTTATCAAAGAAAAAAAAGAATAAAGGGTATTGACACTGTCGTTTTATTAAGATGACCAATACATGATACCTTTCTGAACGTTTGACATTGGAGAGCTTACTTGTTATTTTTCCGTCCTCGGTGATGTTGGTTTTCAGTATATATAATATTGAGTTAACAAATGTGGTGGGTTTTTTTTTTATTATGGCACAGGAGGCGGCACAGTTTCATCACTTGCAAAATGGACAAAGTAGAAAGCCCTTGAAAAGAAAATCGCAATTAAACTGATATCCTCCATAAACTCCACAAACAACTAAAGACGATTAATAGAGAAATATAAATAAAAAATTTAAGAAGTGGATGCTTAAACTCATGCACCACACACCTTTAACAAAGTCTCAGACAAAATTCCAACCATACTAGAGAGAATAAACTGAGGAGAGTACTACAAAATAACAACTATCCCTGTTAACAGTACACCATAATGATTGGCTGGCTTCTGAGCCTACTTACGCAACACTAATTTTGGAGGACTGCAACAAAATTGTCAGTTCTATGGATCTTGTGAATAATAATTGCCCCAGCTCCACTTCCACTCCTACCAACACCAACACCACACACATTTGGGAAAAAGAAAAGAATAGAGGACACTTTAGAAGAACTTAAGGATGTCAAGCATCCATGCTTGGTATTATTTCTGTTCTCTGACCTCGCATTTGTAAGGACTTTTGAATGCTTTCAACATACTGCAACCTATGTTCTACATTTGATCCCCCATTTAAAACCCTCCTCCCCCACTTTCTTTGTAGAATCCCTTTCTATTTGCTCGGCGCCTTAGCTCAGGTGATTGAGGGATGGAGTACGGTTGGGTAGGTCTTAGGTTCAAATCTTACCTAGCACACACACACACACACAAGTAAAAAAATATATAAAAAAAAATAAAAATAAAAGTAAAAACAGAAAATCCATCCCCTAAAGAGTCAAATCTTCAAAATCATTTGTCCAAAAGAGCTTCATTAAAGAGACAGAGATTAGAGATGAGATACTGTCATTTAGCATGAATCAACATCTCATCCCATCTCGACTAATCATGCATAATATTTAATTTTCCTCCCTCAAACCTCCCAATGAGAAATCCCTTTGAATCTTCTTGAGCCACTTAGCCAGGAATAGTAAAGTTGGGGATGAAGTATATCAAGAAAATGGAAAGTGGACTTTATTTCAAGCCTGTTCCTTCATCTATTTGAGGAAGGGAAATGTCAGCTTCCTCCCCTTGATGGATTTGCTTCTTTTATCCCATCTACCTCATTGAAATCCGTCAAGAACTGACTGCGTTTTTAGTCACTTCCACATATTCCAGTCATTCCTATAATTGTTTATGTTGAAACTTCCATCACAATTTTCACAAATTGGCCTACTTAAATCATGTTAAAATGAAGTGACAATGAAGTAGAGACTTGGCAGAGCAACCTTTTGACCAAATCATTGAACATTGTTCATGATGTGGTGATGACTTTCTGATTGTATGAGGAACCTCTGTTATTATTGTAATCTATCAAAGTGTTCTTGTAAAATAATTGTTTTAAAAATAAATTAAAAAAATGTTCTATTTATTTGGTTTATTATGATTTATTAATTATTTGGATGTATGTCTTGCTAGAGTTGCTAAGCATTTTCTTGTGTTCCTGTTTTTCCGTTTCATATTTTTCTTTAAATAGGTCACAGTTCCAGGAGGAAGAAACAGAGATAGAAAGGACGAGTTGCTTGTTATACGCGATAATGGGAACTCCTTCAAGATAATTAATTCGGTGACTATTTCTAACCCAAAACACTTGTTCCATTTCTTATTCCCACTATGCATTCGGCTGATACACTACTATTTTCTTTACCATCTCAGAGTGAAAGAGAAGATCCAACCACCGTCATTGAGAGGGAAGAGTGGAATAAAACTAGAGAAGATATGGAGAAACATCTGAGAAAGCTACGGGACTTCAGCGTTTCAAATTGGTTCTAGTCAACTGATACTTTGGTTTGGAATCTCAGATCCTGCTGTGTGAAGAACCAAGTGCTTGAAGATTAAGATTTTTCGGCACATGGGCAAAATCTATGAGCTTTTTGGTTGCCAATGATGAGCGCATATTATCCTTTGAAAGGAAAGGATTTTCTGCTGATGCTGAATGCTGCACGAAACATTTTGGTTTCGTCAACTTCTGGGCATTTTCCCCCCTGCTCCTATTTTGCAAGTATGTGAAAGTCAATACCTTGACCATGAATTGTAAAACAAAGCAGCATAAAACTTCAGATCCTTCAAGAGCAGTAAGTGCCACTGTTTATTTTCAGAGTCTAGGTTGTATCTATTTTAATTTGTTGGCAAAGGCATCGACTTAAATGAACTGTGCAACATTTGGAATATTTGTGAAGGCAATTAGTTCATTCTGAATTCTGATGTAGTGGGTAACCATGCTTGATAATATGCTTTGCCAGATTATTGATTTTGTTTAGATAGTCTTTATATATTAAGCCTAAATCCTTCTCCTTTTGCATTCCATATGGTATTTTGGCTACAACATTTTGATTATCTTTTAACACTCAGTTTCTTCGCACCAGATCCAGATCAAACCTAAAATTTGATTAAACCTGAACGGCGTAAATTGATACTTTGGTGGAAGTTCATTCCCTTAAATTTTGTGGCGTTTTCTGGATCTAAACAAAGTTATCACTGAGTTGAAGAGACTTTGGTGCTCAAAGGAAGATCACCTCTTCATGACAGTATCTGTTTTTGTCAATATGGTAATACAATGGCAGTACCAAAAATGGTTGGTGTCCTCATATCATTCATTATATAGGAATAATTGCACTATCATTGTTTGGCTGGAAGTTGGTTAAAGTTGCAAGTTGCAACAATCCAATCTTGATTTTGAAATCAACTGTGGTTTATTTATAGGTTTAAATTCTGTAAGGTAGGTCATGTATGTTTTGGGTGTGCACCAGGTTTATTAGGGCATTTTCGTAACTTAAAAAGGCTAAACAAAAGGAACTTTGATTTTAAATCAACAATGATGTGGTCACGGATAATTTACAAACACGCATGTTTCCAAATAACTCGAGTAACTAAATGATTCTTTCTATTCTAAACTTGATAAAGAAAGTAAAATTCGATTTTGTCCTACGGTTCTACTATAAAATACAAACATTTTCAAAATCTTCTCATCGTTGAGCTATTTTTATTATTATTTTCTTTTTTGATTGATAAATTCTTAAGTTATGCTTGAGAATACCAAATATTAACCCAATAAGAAAATAGGAGTAAATTTGCCAATGATTTTTAAGTCGTGTTCATGGCATTGAAAATGAAATTGAAAGATACGATTTGTTTTTATTTTTATTCAAAAGCTCAAGCAAACATATATTTGTTGTATTTTTTATTATTATTAAAAGAAATTTAATTCAATGCTATAAGTTTTTCATCCTCAAAGAGGTGGAGAAGGGTTTCCCTGGTGTGGACAAAGAATATATGAGTGTATTTTTTATCAATATAATAAATAAATAAGTAATTAATTATATATTTATATTTTTTATCCCTGTAGGCTCCAACCTCCAACCTCTCCAAAATTCTTTCTGGCGCAACAGTAAATCTGTCTTAGTCGGTGAGTATGGTTTGTGATACATATTACAACATTGAGACGTTCACCTTGCATTTCAACATTTTTTTAAAGTGTTTTTCAAATCATCCTCACCAATTGGAATAGATATTGTGGAGGGAAAAAAACTCCCTCCAATAAAAAACGCACACGTCACCACTACCCATATCTACAGGCCAAGGACATATAAGGTCCATCATGCTCAAGCCCAAGTTGAGGGTATTTATAACCCAAGACCATTCCATCAAGGCCGACTCAAGAAGCCATCAGCCCAGCTTGTCGTCAGCCCAGATATGAGTATTTAACATCCGGCCTGTTACCCAAGCCCAGCCGGATCAAAATATATTCAGCCCAAGAATGCACAAATCCTACCATTTGAAGAATTTACCGTAGAAGGAAAATTTGGATAGGAAGTTCTGTACAAGGCAAGTTCTATGTATGGAAAATTCAACAATGGAAAGAACTCTATTAGAAAAGTATGGTTATATAGAAAGAATTGGAGGGCAAGCAACGCGAGTCCTACCATAATTTTGCAATCTTTTGTATATAAATAGAGGCTAAGACCTCCAATAAAGGATCAAGCAATTCCACACTTCTCTACAGATTGTTCTTATTTATTTTTATTGTTTTTGAGTGAGTTGTTTTATTTTTCTCAGTCATTATTGGTTGAGCGAAATTTTGCACCTACACTTTGGCGCCGTCTGTGGGAACCGTATAGAAATATACTCCCACTTGTTCTTCAAAATAAATCCTTTAATCGTGTCTGGAATGTCAAACGGAGAGTCAGTAATGAATCAACAGATAGAATTGATGCAAAAGATGCGAGAAGAGTTCTTGCACCAATTTGAGACACTCCGGCAAGCAAACGATACGAGTGTCGCCCAGATAGCTACGCTTCAGCAGCAGACTCATACGCTGCACACGGCCATGGCCAGGCTAACGCCACAACCACCACCAGGCGATGCTGCGGCACCACCTCCCACCCGGAATTTACCTCCGGTTCACGAGCCTCCAGCCAACGAGACACCACCCAACGGGGCTCGACCTAGTGAGGTTCAGCAAAAGCAAGGGACGAGGTCCGAGGCGGTTGCTTCGGATAATCTCCCGCATCGTACTCAGGACGAACAGGCCGAGTCCAGCCATAGGCTTACGGTATGGTCCAATGGCATTCCGGATGGCGCACGTGTACAAGATGCCTTCGACGAAAAGAAGCTCTTGAGAGTCCAGACACCAGCCGAGATGGCTAGAGAGCACAAGAATTCCTTGGTCAAGACCCCCTTTACTGACGAGGTGTACCTTGTGGAGAGGCCGAAGAAGTTCACTATGCCATCCTTCACCCAGTTCGATGGGGCAGGAGACCCCTCTCGGCATCTTGATCATTATGCGCAAAAGATGGCACTGGACGATCATAACGATCCGTGGATGTGTAAGGTTTTTCCTACCAGTTTAACCGGAGCAGCGTTAGAATGGTTCAGGAATAGGCCACACAAGTCTATCCCTGACTATGAGACCTTGTGCACCATGTTCTTAGCCCAGTATTGCGGAAATAAGAAGCAGAAGAAAAGTATCGCCAGCCTTTTCACCATAAGGCAAAGGAAGGGAGAAACTTTGCAAGATTTTTTATCCAGGTTTAACATGGAGGCCTCGGAGATAGCAGATTGCCATCCTGCCATGGCAATCGAAACGTTTAAGTTGGCGATGATCCAGTGAACCAAGTTTCACACATCCTTAGTCAAATATTCCCCCCCGGATATGCAGACTTTGAACGCTAGGGCACAAATCTACATCCGGTTGGAGGAAAACGTAGCCCACCGTGCACAGCACGCTACCCTCGTCACGGTGGAAAACAAGTCTCGAGAGAAAGCTGCGAGCACAAGGATGCAGAAGGTCCCTCATACCGCCACACAAGTCACCCAAGCGTCTGAGAAAAGGCGAAGGACAGAGGACAGGCTTACCCCTCTCCGTACTACCTTGGCGCGCCTATTCCAAGAGAATAAGACGAGGTTCGCAACTCCTCAGCCCATGAAGCAACACTTGGAGCAGAGGGACAAAAGCAAACATTGTGCCTACCATAGAGATTATGGGCATACCACCAATGACTGCAGGTCCCTACAGCGACAAGTAGAAAGCATGATAGCGAGAGGAGAATTGGTGGAGTATCTCGCCACAAAGGAGCACGTAAGACCTTGGGAGGTTAACCCTCGACGGGTAGAGAGCGGTCAGGTAAAGGTTATCCATGCCATACACGGATGGTCAGAGGATGATGAAGAATCTGAAGAGTTGTACAGATCTAGGCTGCGAGAGGCTCATAAGTTACGCAGGTTGTCTTCGGTAAACACAGTTGCACCAGGCAGCATCAACATTGGATTCGGTAACAATAACCTTTCTAGAGTCCAGCGCCCGCATGAGGACCCCTTGGTCATCAGCCTCCTGGTAGCGAATTACATGATCAGGAGAGTGCTGGTAGATCCGGGAAGTAGCGCCAACATCATTACAAAAACAGCTTTTGATCAGTTGGGGATTTCGCCATCATCCATCAGGCCAACTTCCGGCCCCCTAATGGGATTTGATGGTACTAAGGTGAATCCGCTTGGGGTGGTCGATCTATCCGTTACTGCAGTAAAGAGAACTCTAAAGGAAAACTTTGTCGTGACAGAGATTCATCCATCTTATAACCTCATTATAGGAAGAGGTTGGATTCATCGTATGAATGGAGTCCTTTCTACACTTCATCAAGTAATGAGGTGTTTATCCCCGGATGGCAGGGAGGTCATCGACCTCTGGGGAGACCAGGTTGCTGCCAAAGAATGTTACATGCTAACGCTACACGAAGCAAAGAAAGCGTCGAAATCACCTCAGTCAGAGGCGAATCCCAAAGACGCAATCAAATAGCAGCTACAGTATCCTCTGCCCAAGTATCTCAAGGCAGAGGAAGAAGCCGAAGCTGAGGCACCTACCGAGGAGTCCCTCGAAGCTGTAGAGGTAGTCCTCGGAGACCCTCAGAAGATCACCTACATTGGCTCATCTTGCACAGCAGAAGAGAAGGAAGCATTGATCAGGGTTATTCGGTGCAATTCGGATGTCTTTGCCTGGGATCACTCAGATATGGTGGGGATCAATCCTACAGTCTCATGCCATAGTCTGAGGGTTAACCCAGAATTTAGGCCAGTCAAACAGAGGCACCGACGGTTCGCACCTGAACGCAATCGCATAATAGCCGAGGAAGTGAATAAACTGTTACAAGCAGGATTCATTCGAGAGGTGCAATACCCACAATGGCTCTCGAATGTAGTAGTCGTTCAAAAGAAGAATGGGAAATGGAGGGTGTGCGTAGATTATACCAACCTTAACAAAGCTTGCCCAAAAGATAGCTTTCCTCTGCCCAAGATTGATCAAATGGTGGATGCTACGACGGGTTATGAAAGGCTCACATTCCTCGATGCATACTCTGGCTATAATCAGATTCCCATGAATCCTGAAAATGAGGAGAAAACTGCTTTCATCACAGAAACGGGCACTTACTGCTACAGAGTGATGCCCTTCGGTCTAAAGAATGCCGGAGCCACCTACCAGCGACTTGTCAATAAAATTTTCAGTAATCTGCTGGGCAATACAGTTGAAGCCTATATCGATGATATGGTGGTTAAAAGTATACGGAAAGAGGACCACCCGAAGCACCTCCAGGAGGTCTTTAATACTCTCAAGAGATACAATATGAAGCTGAACCCCACCAAATGCTCCTTCGCCGTTTCGTCAGGACAGTTCCATGGGCACGTCGTAAATAAAAGAGGAATAGAAGTAAGCCCAGCTCAGGCAAAGGCACTCATACAGAACCAGGAACCTAAAACTCGCAGGGAAGTGCAAGTTCTAACCGGCCGAATTGCGGCTCTCAGCCGGTTCATATC